TGGGACCTCCCCACCTATCGCACCCCCATCCACATGTCCGTGAGACCTCCAAACAATGGGACCCCCATGGAATCCCCTTTTTTGGGACCCCCCCACCCATAGGTGCTATGGGGACAGATTTTGGGGTTTCTGGGTGCTCTGAAGTCCCCAAGGCTTTGTGAGGTCCCCAGGGTGGTTTTGGGACAAATTTTGGGGTTTCTGGGTGCTGTGAGGTCACCAAAGGTTTATGGGGTCCCCAAGGTAATTTCAGTACAGATTTGGGGGTTTCTGAGGTCCCCAAGGTGTTTTGGAGGTCAGATTTAGGGGTTTCTGGGTGCTCTGAGGTCCCCAAGGTGTTTTTGGACAGATTTTAGGGTTTCTGGGTGCTGTGAGGTACCCAAGGTGTTTATGGGGTCCCCAGGGTAATTTCGGGACAGATTTTGGGGTTTCTGAGGTCCCCAAGGTGTTTTTGGGACAGATTTTGGGGTTTCTGTGCCCCCCCAGAGCCCTGTGCCAGCCCGTTGCTGTCCCCAGCATGACCATGGTGACCCCGGTCATTGCTGTCCCCAGGGTGACCATGGTGACCCCGGCCGTGCTGCGTCTGGAGACGGATGAGCTGGTGCTCCTGGAGGCCCCCGGGGTGACCACGGCCACCCAGGCCCTGCTGCTGGTCCAGGACTTCCCCCAGAAGCGCCAGGTCCTGTTCCGGACCCATGTGGCCCTGAGCCCGGAGCAGGGCATGATGGCCATGGCCACCATCAAGGTACGGAGTCACCTTGTCACCCTGGTCACTGTCACCTCCCTTTGATCACTGTCACCACCCCCGGTCACTGTCACCTCCCCCTGGACAGTGTCACCCCCTCTAGTTACCGTCACTCCCCGGTCAGTGCCACTCCCCCCCGCACTGATCAGCACAGGTCACTGTCCCCACAGTCACTGCCTGGGACGGGAAACAGGAGCTGACCCCTGAGTGGAGGTGGGGAATGGCCGGGGAGGGGGGGGGGGGGCAGTGGTCACTGCTGGGGACAGTGATCACTGCTGGGGACAGAGGGGTGGTCACTCCTGGTGTCCATTGGGATGGTCACCTCCAGGTGTCCCCACAGATGTCCCCAATGTCCCTGTGGCTGTCCCCAGTGTCCCCAGTGCCCCCTGTCCCCAATGTCCTCTGTCCCACAGATGTCCCTGTGGATGTCCCCAGTGTCCCCAATGTCACCCTGTCCCCAATGTCCCCAGTGTCCCCAATGTCTCCAGTGTCTCCTGTCCCCGTGGATGTCCCCAGTGTCCCTGTCTCTCTGGATGTTCCCAATGTCTTCAGTGTCCCCAATGTCTCCAGCGTCCTCTGTCCCCACCCTGTTCCCAATGTCCCCAATGTCCCCATTTTCCTCCCTGTCACCAATGTCCCTTCCTCCCCTTCTCCTCTGTGTCCCCAATGTCCCCAGTGTCCCCTGTCCTCATGGATGTTCTCAATGTCCCCAATGTCCCTGTCCTGCTGGATATCCCAAATGTCCCCAGTGTCCCCTTTCCCCACTGTCCCCAATGTCCCCTGTCCCTAATGTCCTCAATGTCCCCTGCCCCTCTGGATGTCCCCTATCCCCATGGATGTCCCTAGTATCCCCAATGTCTACACTGTCCCCAGGTGCCAGCCAAGGCGCTGCCGCAGGCGCCAGGAAAGCAGTTTGTGGCGGTGACAGCACAGGTGGCCGCGGTGACACTGGAGAAGGTGCTGCTGGTGTCCCTGCAGAGTGGCCACATCTTCGTGCAGACCGACAAACCCATCTACACCCCGGGCAGCACCGGTGGGACACCCTGGGGACACTGCAGGGACAGCTGAGGACAGCTGGGGACACCACAGGGAGAGCTGGGGACACTGGAGGGGATGGGGACAGCGAGGGAATGGGGATACTGTGGGGACATCACAGGCAGGGGGACACCCCCAGCAGCACCAGTGAGCAACCCTGGGGACACTGCAGGGACAGCTGGGGACACTTCAGGGACAGTTGGGGACACTGCGGGGATGGGGATACTGTGGGGACATCACAGGCGTGGGGACACCTCAGAGGGCTGGGGACACTGCCTGGGCCACCAATGAATGAGTGGGGACACCCAAGGACACCTGG